GGCATGAGGGCCGCGCCGGGCGGCCCGCCCTGCCGCGGCGCCCCGACTGCGCCGCCCAGATGTCGGGGGCGGCAAAGAGTGGGGTGAGGACTAGGGGAGGGGTGGATATCATGGCGTGGGCCATGGTGTTTCCCCAGGTTTCGTGGCGCCTCTTCTTACTTCATCACGTCCCTGGCCCCCCCCTGGGCCGCGCACACGCCGCTGGCCATGATTTGCACCCCCCCCTCTTGGACGCCCCCCTCTTTGCCGCTCCCGAAGATTGGGTCGGAGTAGACGGGGTCGGAGGATCGCGCCGCATCGGCGATGCATCGCCGATGCGGCTCGATGTGGAGCCCGATTTGATTCACGTCGACGTCGCTGGCGTCGCCGACGTCAACGGTGCATCGCCGGTGCATCGCCGGTGCATCGCCGGTGCATTGCCGATGCATCGCCGATGTATCGGCGATGTGGCGCGATCCTCCGACCTCATCTACTTCGACCCCATCTAGGAGGCCTTGTAGACAACGAGGACGAGAAATCTTGAAGCCATCTTGGAGTCTTCGTGGGATCATTTTGAGGTTCTCTGTGGGTCCTCATAAGGTTTTCTTGGGGCCCTGGTTGAAGGCGTTGCGGTTCCCACGGGGGCCTTTTGAGGTGTGTTGGGGCCCTGGCCTCTGGAGGCCCTCGTGGAGGTCTTTTTGTAGCCATCTTGGGGCCATGTTGTAGGGCGTCGACCAACAGAGGGGAGTCTGTGATTCGCCCCCCCCCCAGCAACGCTCACAGACACCTCTTGGGCCGCCCTGTGGCGCTCTTGGGGCCGTCTTGGGGGCGCCTTGGTCCCCTCTTCATACGGGGGAAGACTTCAAATGATTGTTGTTTAATGTAGGTGTTGTTCTGAAGACGCTTTGCTTTAGCCGTCTGGCGGCGAGTCCCTCCAGGAACACATAGCGACAGTCCTGGACACCGATCGTAGCGAAGACGTCGGACGCAAGAATGAAGATTATCCGATGTAAGGTCCGTGTCACGAGAAACAAAAAAAACGCTACAACGCTAGAGGAATCGAGCGGAACCGCGGCAACGTTTGAAAAATCTACCAGACAACAGCCGAACACACAAATTGAGATCAGCACGTGGGCGAAGATCTATCAGACGAAACCATTGCGTCTGCTCTCGGCGCAGCCAGAAACGCAAAGGAAATTGCGCGGAAACCGCGGGAGCCGCAGGAAACAGAAAGGGGACCATTGGAAGCCATTCCAGAAGCCGTTCGGTGCTGATGCAGTCCCACGCGAAAGTTGCGTTTGTGACCATACCCCCAGAGACTTGTTGGCTCAATCAGATTAAAAGAAGGGAGCTTGCACCCCCGCCCAGGGGCCCGCGGTCCCCCGCCCGCCAGGACCACGCCAGCCAGGCCCACGCGGAGTCTTAGAATTTTGAAGGGGGCGGCTCACCCGCATCGCCCTGGCAGCGTGGTCGACCGCCGTCTGGCGTTGGCTGCCGCCGTATCCGCTGGCTCTGCCGCCACTGCCATCGCCGTCAGCAACCTCGTCACTCATCATCGCCGCCATTGCCAGGCTTTCCATGTCCTCGTCGCCTTGATCGTCGCCTGGGCGCAAATCGCCGCGGTTTTCGTCGTTGTCGAGCATGCTCGAGCCAGAAGATTGCCTGGTCGGGCCAGCTTAACAAGGGTCGCCTACCCCTCCATGCGGTCGTGCATCCAGCGGGGCCGCAATCAAATCGAATGTTGAAACCTTACCCTGCCAGTCGGCCTCTGGCCATCTTGGGGCCATACTGAGGCCTTAGAAGCCCATCGGAAGCGGAGGCTAGAAGGCGAACATCGCCGAGTTGCCTAGGTGGTTGACGGACTTCGGGCTCTGGGAGGATCCGCGGAGAAGTTTCGAGGGCAGTTGGGACCATATTCTGGCGTTCTTGGGGCCTCTTGAAGGCATGAGGGAGCCATTATGAACGATCGCAACTACGTGAGGCCCTCTCGGAGGACAAATCAGAGCATAGGAGGAGCTCCTGGAGCCACCTGGGACAACTTTGGGCGCTCAAACCCCCGCGACTGGGCTCGGGAAACTTCACGGAGCGAAGGGGAGGGCACCCTTCACGAAGGGGAAGGCGGTGGAAGAGGAGCAAAGAAGGTAGACCGCCTACGCCCAAATGGCTGGTGGGACCTGGAGAAAGGATGTCCTCCAGCCGTGTGGCTGTTTGATGGACATTGGTCAAGTGCGCGCGGCACCAGGACAGAGGGCCCCGTGGTGAAAACACCTTCAGCCGTGCATCCCTGGGAAAATATCGAAGGCGGGCGCGCGTCAGCGCCAGGGCGAGAGCCCCATTTTGACAACGGCCCGCCCTCCCTCCGTGCAGCCGTTGGAAATGACAAGCTGTAATGTCGCAGACGGTGACGGGGTCCTCAGGCGGCACGCTTAGACCGGCCTGACACGTCTGGTGGTGCAGTATTACACTCGTTGACGCTGGTGCCGATGCCCCACCAGCATATCAGTTCCTGCGGGAGCACAACTTTGCAGCTAAGCGTCGCCGCGGCAATCTGGATGCTGACGCGAGCTGTTTGCCCCTGCGGTTGGCGCGCGCCTCCCCATATCTTCTGTTTGTTGTTTCTCCCCCCAGTCGTCCTCCCGCCCCCCTGCCGCACAAACTGGCAGGTCCGTCGAGGTTTCGCCGCAGCGCCGCCCGTTTGGGGAGCCCGTCGAGGTTTCGCCGCGGCGCCGCCCGTGGCCGCCCACATGGAGGGTCCGTCGATGCTTCGCCGCGTCGTCGCCCGAGGCCGCCTCGTTGCCGCCCATGTGGATGAGTCCGTCGAGGTTTCGCGCGTCGCCGCCCGTTGCCGCCTCGCTGCCGCCCACTTGGTTTGGGGGTTTAGTGAGGTTGCACCACACCGTGTGGTGTGCACCGCATACCTGGCTTCCACCACATAGCTTGCACCACGCAGATTGCACCACATAGGTTACGCATCCAGATTACAAGAACTGACTGGTCGGGACCTCCGCTAGCCAACATTGGTCGTTCCGTTGCTGAATGTGTTGTAGAGGGTTGGGATCAGTTTCATCGTCATGATCTTTTTCATCGTCACCACGAACATCATCATCCTTCCTCCCCTGAAATTTCCCTGGGGGCATGCCATCGAAGGCACACCGTGATGACCGCAGTTGGGCCCTTTATATCCCTTGCCTCAGGCACAAGCAGGAGAAGGGGCGGCCGGAGAGGGAAGATGATATTGAGGAGAAGGAGGGACATTGGAGGAGGAGGAGGAGAAGGAGGAGGAGGAGGGAAAGGATCGCGCGCCCTTGCAAGGGCATCGTCCATGGTGCCGGCTTCGGGCTGCACCCGATGCAAGCGGCGAGGAGGCCACCCGTGAGGCAACCATCACCCCTTCTGGGCTCAAGCCGCCGCTAAAGCCGCCCACCCCACGGCAAACGGTCGCCCCGTACCTCGTCGCCGCCCGCCAGGCGGCAACGGAGCTTCAGTGGGGAGAGGAGTCGGGGGCAGAAAAGACGGGGGTGATGACTAGGGGGGGGTATCATGGCGTGGGCCATGATAGTTCCCCAGATTTCATGGCGCCTCTTCTTAGTTCATTACGTCCCTGGCCCCCCCCCCTGGGCCGCGCACATGCCGCCGACCATGACTTGAACCCCCCCCTCTTGGGCGCCCCCCTCTCTGCCGCTCCCGAAGGAGCGCCGGCGGGCTCATGACACGGCGGCGCCGGCTGGCGACCGCCATGTACTGGCTGCTGGAGCCCGAGGTCACCAGCGGGCGGCTCTCCTGGGCGCGCGCCGCGGCCGTTGGCGCAGCCGTCCTCGCGCTCCCCCCCGCCGCGGCGCTGCTGTGGCGACGCCCGCCGCCCGGGCCCCCGCTGCGGCATCGCCAGAGGCAGGGGGGCGGCGCGAGCCGCCATCTGGAGCAGCCCGCGGAGGGTGCAGCCCAGCCCCACGAGAGCATGCTGGAGGCCGCGGCGGAGGAGATCAGCGAGAGCCGGGACTGGGAGGTCGTCGACGAGGGAGGCGCCGAGGTGTGGAGCGACCGGGACGCGGCATCTTCCAAGGTCCGTCGGACGCTCCCGAAGTGCACCGTGTTCAGCGGCAGGCGGGACTCGCCTGCCGGCGCCGACGGCCTCGTGGACTGGGTGAGGCTCCTGGACGGGTCCGGCTACGTGAAGGTCGCGGTGCCGCGCAGCTCGGCCTTCGAGGACACGACGCTGGTGGAGGAGACAGAGGCGCACTACGAGGAGGTGCAGCACGGCTCCTGCGAGGAGAACGGGATGTGGCCGATCTTGAGTTCCGAGCTGTGCGAGGCGGCCGCAGAGGCGCTGGGCCTAGGAAGCCGAGCCGACTTGGTGCTCTCGACCGCCTCCGAGCCAGGCTGCTTCTACATGCACGGCCAGAGCAGTGCGCCCGCGGCGTCGCCCAGCGGCGTCGCTCAGCGCCTGCTGGCGCTGCTGCGCGGGGGCGCCTGGCGCGGGCAGCTGTGCTCCTCGGCGCGGACGTGCCATCCCGTGACGACTTTGACGGTCACATCCAGCACGTCGACGTCTAGCACAGGCTTTTCCAGCACGGAAACGTCCAGCACGGGCACGTCGACTCAAGTCACGTTGATGTCTGCCGCGCCTACATCGACGACGCCCTTGTCCGTGACCTCAACGTCTGGGAACCGCTCGGTTCGCCACCTTACCCTGTTCTGCTGGAGCGTGGCGACTCCCGGGGGCTACGAGATCGAGCTCGTCGCCACCCAGTATCGCAGGGGGGCGAGCATCTTCAATTGCGACGACTTCGCCGTGCTCAGCGCGTCGGAGGGCGTGGAAATCGGCCCCGTCGACGTGATCATGATCCTGGACACAGACGGCGGGGGCGAGAAGGGGGTCCTGGACAACGGGAGGGTGACGACAAACTCGTTCTTGAACACCGAGGTCTTCATTCAAGCGTGGGGCATCGTCATGGAACAGACTCGCGCCACGACCATGGACTGGATCGTCAAGGCCGACCCAGACACGGTGTTCTTTCCAGAGCGCCTCCGGCAGCGTGTGGCAGAAGACATGGCCAGTGGAGGCGAGCCGGTGTTCTACATGAACTGCAACAAAGTCTTCGGACCAGGCGACGAGCCGAGCAAGTTATTCGGGTCTCTTGAGGTATTCTCACAGAGTGCGGTGCGGACTTTCCAGAACCAGAAGCACCGTTGCTTGGAGGAGTTGGACTGGCACGGATGGGGCGAAGACTATTTCATGAGTCATTGTATGGATCACATTGGCGTCGCGCGCGTAGAGGACTTCGATTCGTTTTCGGACAACCGGTGCAATAGCGCTCCGTGTAATGATGCCACGAAGCTCTCGTTCCACGACTTCAAGGATGAGGGGAGCTGGTTCTGGTGCTGGGAGACGTCCCTGGGGGAGGGCGCTGTCGCGGCGTACGCCCGCAGGGCTGCCCAGAGGGATTCCGGGGAGAGGGCGAAGACACGGACCGATTCTGCAGAAGAGAAGGGGGAGTCGAACGAAAAAGAAGAGACCAGACTAGCTTGAGCGGGCTCCAGTACAGGGCCAAGGCGACGGAGGAGGCCCCAGGGAGGCGAGAGGCGACGCCCGGCTCCAGGCGCTTGGACCTGTCGCCGAGCGGAAGATCAATCAGAGAGGCGCACGAAGCTGCCAAGTGTTTGGTCCGTCGCCTGGAACACCCCACACACGCACACACGTATGTATATATACACATATATATATATATACATATATAAATTGAAATATACACATGCGTATGTATGGGTATTATATATATATAAACATAAACATGCAGGCGTGCATATATACTACATTGGTGTCCACATCACACACAGTGGCCTATGGCCCATCCCGCCCCAGTGCCTTGGACCTATCGTTCGGCGTCTCGAGGCCCTCCCGGACCGTCTGAGAAGCTTCTTGGGGCCCTCTTGACCCGTATTTGGGCCCTTCGCGGCCCGAACAAATAATGCGGGAAGACGCCCCAGGCGCACCGGGAGCCCTAGGAGATTTGAGCATTTGGGGCCGGGGCCCCGTAAATGATTTTGATGATTTGGGACAGTCCCAGGGTGAGCAAGGGACCTGAGGACAGTTCAACTCGTGCCTCGCCGGCCTGGCTGCAGACTGTTTACTCTATGTGTGTACGTCTATACACAGATTCAAATATATAGATCGGTGAACACACCTGTATGGAATAAATACAAACAGCTGTGAGCATACGTGAGCGACGCAAAAAAGAAACGGGGCCGTCTGCGCCGGCATTGGCGCGTGAGCTGCCCGCGTAAGATCGCGCGTGAGCGCCTCAGCCTCCAATACAGCGCGCTGCGCTGGCGGCCCGCGTAGGCCGCCGCGTGAGGTCGCTGCGCCATCTCGCGTAAGACCCCTTGTTGATGGTTGCTCACGTGCGTATAATTAAAATCGGGGCCCTGAAGAAGGAACCCTTTTCGTTGGGGAGGGGCTCCGCGTTCCTTCAGTGTTTCGCAGCTTGCCTCAGGTGCTCCTTATGTTTTCGATAGAAAATCGAAGTTTAACTTATGGAAAGGGGGCCTCTTTCCTTATTTAGGGTTCCTTAGGTCAACGCCCCGACTGTACCCACGTATACATGCATCCATGTACGCAGTGTAACTCCAGCAGAAACGAAGCCGACATCCAGCTGAAGTGGGGCGGAAACGGCCCTCCTCGTCCTCCTCCTCCTCCTCCTCCTCCTCCTCCTCCTCCTCCTCCTCCTCCTCCTCCTCCTCCTCCTCCGGCCGCGTGGTTCTAATTCGTGCGGGCACGTGCACATTGTACATGTACGTATACGTATACACGTATCTGTGCGTGTGTGCTTGTACGTACCACGGGCGTCCCGGGGCCCCAAGGCTGGTGGCTCCTGTTCGCTCGGAGGGGGGCTCGTTCGGCCCCGAGGGGTGCAGGACGACCGCAGGCCTCCTCGAGCTCGCGCCACAGGACACTGCAGGAGAGCTGCATTGAAGACACACCAGGGGGCCTGAAGAGGCACACGTCCTTGAGGTTTCCTGGGCGTTGGAGGAACTCGAGCGTTCTCGCGTGTTCGAGCGTCCGGCCGCCCCAGGCGGCCCCAGGGGGCCTCCCAGGTCGCCCCAAGGCGGCGCAGCAGATCGCCACGAGGGCCCCAAGGCTGCCCAAGAGGACCGCAAGATGGCCTGAGAGGGCCCCCAGAGACCCGCAAGAGGGTGCCACGAGGGCCTCAAGTCCCAAGAGGGGTCTTGGGGAATCCTCTTGGCGCGCGAGGCTCCCGACATGCCCCCCTTGCCCTGTCTGGATGGCCAAGAGGCCCCCGAGAGCCCCCAGAGAGGCCCCCACACAAGGAGCAAGTGGGCGTTCGCAGATCTTGCTTCCGGGCCCTGTTTTTGGGTCCTGTCGGCGCCTGCTTGGCAACCTCCCGGGGGCCCCCCTGGATCTGCCGTCCCTCTTCCTTCTGTCAAGGGCTTAACAAACGCCCCTACCCTGGTTTACGAGGCGCTGTGCGCTGAAACTCCTGTGGGTTGACAGGGTAATCCCTGCGTGATGTGCCGCGTCCTGGCGGCTCTAGGCTTTGGGGGTTCCCAGGAGGGTTACAGACCACGCACTTGTAACCCAGGGTAGGGTCGTTTTTTCATCCCTCAATTCTTGCTCCTCCCTCAGAACGTGATCTCCCCGGGGCGTGCGCACGTCTGTCCTGATTCTGCTGGAGCGCTGCCCTTCCATGGGTAGTCATCCGGTCGGACGCCCGCTAAGGGAACTGAGCTGACGTGGGTGCTCCACTGTGTTTGACCACACCCTCCAAAGAACTGAACAGCCACGTGGCGACTCATGAATACCCCAATCGCGTTCCTTTGAGATGCCCGGGCAAGGTAAGAACATGTCGCTGATCCTAGAGTTGCGAATAATGGATGCATGATGGTTGCCGCATTGATCTCTGATGCTCCAGAGTACCATCAAAGCTGAAGCCAATGTGTTTGAAATGATACGACCACCGATTTGTTCCGTCTTCCGAGTTTCAAGCAAAAGATACATTGTTCCAAGCCGTTCTGTCGGCACGTGAATACTTCTGAAATAGAGCCCCAAACGTCGCGGATTGCATTGCAGAGTTCGGCTTTCGATGTGTTAACGCGTGCAGTCGAATTGTCAATTGCATTCGCCAGATCTTCTAGCGTTGTGCTACGATTAACCCTGTCCACGCTCCTTGTTTCAAGATCTACGTTTTGCGATTGTTTATGCGGCATGTTTCCACCTACTCCAAAATTGTAAGGCATCTTCCAGTCACTATGGTGGTGGCGTCCCACACTGAATCGTCGAAGTGGCACGACGAGGCGAGAACTCAACGGCTCATCCACACAACGCGTACACTAAACTCTAAAATGACGTCAGGCGGATGTGCACAAAATGTTTGACCCGTTGACTCTTGATCATGGCATTCGAACTTCAGGTCATCGCCACGTCCCCAGTGCTAGCTCCCATGTTGCTGGGCACACGCTTTGAAGACAAACACTTGCACAAAGTGCGACATCAAATCTGCAGGTGAGCATGTTTCGGTTGGTGTCTGAAGGAGCGTCGCGCAGCAACTCGCCGTCTGTAAGCAAAGCCAGTACTTTTGCTTCGTGCGCCAGCCTCCGAAAGAGTGTCGCATTGCACCACATCGTCTTTCTCTCTCCCTCTCTCTCTCTCTCGTTGCCGTCCCTCCACCCACTCATGCACACTTTGCTAACGCAATTCGCCTGGGCCCAAGGTGGCTCACAGGCTCCGGCCGGCACGCCGAGCTCCCCGCCCCTCCGGACGGGCAGGCCTCGAATCAAGATGTTTTCGTTCTGGAGCGCTCTGAAACGGCCGCGGCGCCCGATACATCCTCCAAGCCCGCCGATTCTCGGAGATTCTCGACTGATATCGGTCTGGCTTAATCTCGATTCGGCCTTCCCTGCATGTCGGTGCCTCGCCCCCAGCCCCCTTGGGGATCGTGCCGGCGGGCCAGCAGTGCCGCCGCCGTGGAGGTTTTTGGCACAAGCGGGCGCCCTCGGCGGGCGCGCCACGGAAGCCCAAGGGGAGGAGGGAGGAGGAGGGAGTAGGAGGAGGAGGAAGAGGAGGAGAAGGAGGAGGGAGGAGGGAGGAGGGAGGAGGAGAAGGAGGAGCCCCAGCGGGAGGAGGAGAAGGAGGAGTGGGAGGAGGAGGGCACGGGCATCGCGGTGGGTACGTTCCGCTCTTTTTTGCCAAATGTGAAGGTCAGTCCTTTTTCTGCGCCATTTGCTCCGCCCGGAGGGCGCAAATGGATTGTACTCACGAGGCTGGCATGCGCTCCAAGCCGTGGCACGCGCCGACGACTGTGCGTCGCTCAAACGATGGAGCTGTTCCATCAATGTGCGTGCCTCAGTTCAGTGTGGGGCCTCAAATTTTCTGTATTGTCTCCTGCCTCTCCTCGAGCTGACAGACGGCCGCCGCGGACTATCAGCCAGCTGGCAGATTGCAGTCGTTGTGCAGCGGGCTCGGGTGGATTTAAGAGTAGCTTCCGGTGAGGAGGAGGAGGAGGGCGAGGAGGAATGAGACGAATGGGGCTACGAAGTGATGCGCAGGCGTAGGATGAGGATGATGCAGCTGCCTCTGACTAGAGCCGCTCGTGGTTCTAGTTTCCCCGACGGTTCTGTGGCATTGGGTCTTCCAGTTGGGCCCGCATCGCCCCGCCCCGCGTCGCGGTGGCCTCATCTGCGGGCGCCACCGATGGTCCCAGTGGAACAGACCACATGGCGTCCTCGCCCCAATTCTTGACACCCCTCACACCTGTCGTGGCCCGATCGGGAGATCCACCGAAGGTCCCAATGGGACAGGCCGCATGACGCACGCTCCTCCAATTCTGCACACCCTCACACGCTTCGTGGCTTCACAGGCTCCACAGAGGAGGGTCCCCGCGGGACAGGCCGCGCGGCGCAACCGCGGCCCCACGGGACAGGCCGTAGCCCATCCTCAGCGCCCCCATCCGTTTTCTTCCTCTTCCTGAACGCAGAGCAGTAGGGGTTGTGGGAGAGGGAAGGATGGGGAAGAGCAGGGGAGCAACAGAGCGGTGGAGGGAGGTGCCCAGGCCGCCAGCAGACTTCACGCGGGTGGCTGGGAATGGCGGCGGAACGCCTGGCAAACTATTTCGAACCCACAGCTTGGTCGATTCCCCCTGGCGCCGTGGACGGACATATCCATCTACAACTCGACGCGGGCATGGTTCACCTTGGGCATGATACAGACATGATTCGCTGGAGGAGAGGAGCAGGAGCTGGATGAGGCGGAGGATGCTTGATTGAGCTTGGCCTGCGATGAATGAGACAACACGTATGTTGGGTGCAGTTTTCTCTTCCCACGTACTTGTCAGTGGCCCTGTGGACGTCGTGGGCAGATCCACAATGGAATGTACACTGCCCGGCCTGCCCGAAGCGGAAGGGCATGCGCCTGTTTCGCTGGTGCGCGAGCATCCGTGTGTCCAGCAGCTCATTATCCCATTGTGGGTCCTCTCTCTCTCCATCTCCTTCCTGTCTTCGCTTCCACCGTGGGAGTCTGACTGGAACGGTGGCAGATGAAACATCATCACAATGCACGCCCCTGTCCGCTGCGAGCGTCCATCGGACCCACAGCATTCAATTCGGCTGCACGTTCTTGGTCATTCTTCGCGGACAAATCAACAGTATCCAATTCAGTGAATTCAGGCGCAGATTAGCTTTTTATAATATGCCTCGTCTCCCTTCTCCCTCCTCCTGTTGCCAGGGACTTAGCGTCTCTTCCCCGGAGTACGGCTTGCCCAACACATGCTTCTTGCATTCCTCCTGCGCACAGGAGCACCATGATTGTTCGCATCCGACCTTACAGTTCCTCCAGGGATCCTCCCTAACAGCCCCCTCCAGAAAAAATGGTTGTGGTAACGACAATATGGGTGCAATACAAGTGTCACTATCGTTTACCCGCCTGCTGGTGATTTAAGGCGGTGTTTTGTTTAACCTTTTCTCGGGGAGATTGATGAAGATTGAGATTGCAAGTGCGACGTTGGCCTCTAGAGAAGGAAAATGTGCAGTAACTGGTGTAGCACAGTGTTCGCAGAGAGTGTGTGTGTGTGTAACACAAACACACACACGCACGTTCTCTTCGTGTTTGTTTTTTTGTTGGTTTTCCCTACCTAGGCTCTGCCTAGAAGGGTTCTTACTATTAGGCTTAAAGGGCCGGGCAGTGGGGCACGCCCCGGGCGGTTTCCCCAGTCTCCGCCCCGCGGTTCCCCCAGTGACGTTCCTTTAGCTTCGCGTTGCGTATCTCGTCTTAGCTTAGCTTATTTCATATTAGCTTAGTTTAGCTTCATCTTACCTCAGTTGTACCTTAGCTTAGCTTACCGTCGTCTTAGCTGCGCTGAGCTTTAGCATAGCAGAGCACAGCATAGCATAGCATAGCGCAGCATCGCATATCATAGCATAGCCCAGCATAGCATAGCATAGCGCAGCATATCATAGCTTAGCAGAGCATAGCATAGCGCTGTATTAGCATCGCATAGCATAGCATAGTATAGCATTGCATAGCATAGTATAGCGCAGCACAGCATAGCATAACATAGCATGACATATCACAGCATAGCGCAGCTTAGCATAGCATAGCTTAGCATAGCACAGCGCAGCATGACATAGCATAGCTTGGCATAGCATAGCATAGCATAGCGCAGCATAGCATAGCATAGCATAGCATAGCGCAGCATAGCATGGCATAGCATAGCATAGCATAGCAACTAATGCTGCTTTCCTAGGGGCTCCAACTTCTAGGTCGGGTCGCACTGGGGTAATATCTCTCTCTCTCTGCGAAAACTGTGCCACTGATGCCCCAGCATCAACATAGCGCGCCCCACTGATGCCAGACCGCCTGAGCAGTAACCTTTTGCCCAGCCGCCGACGCACAAGTGTGTATGTGTGTATGGGTGGGTGGGTGGGTGGGTGGGTGGGTGTGGGTATGGGTGGCTGTGGGTGGGTGTGGGTGGGGATGTCCGTGTAAATGTGGGTGTGGGTGTGGGTGTGTGTGGGTGTTTGTGCGTGTGTGTGTGTGTGTGTGTGTGATTGTGTTTGTGTTTGTGTGTGTGTTCGTGTGTCTGTGTGTGTATGTGTTTGCGTTTGTGTGCGAGCGCGCGTGGGGAAGAGGGGATGTGCGTGCGTGTGTGTGTCTGTGGTGTGTGTGATTGTGTTTGTATGTGTGTGTGTGGGGGGGGGGTGAGGGTGTGGGTGTGTGCGTGTGTGTCTGTGTGCGTGTCTGTGTGTGCTTGCGTGTGTGTGTGTGTGTGTCTGTATGGTGGTTTGCGTGTGTGTGTGCGTGCGTGCGTGCGTGCGTGCGTGTGCGTGTGCGTGTGTGTGTGTATGGTTGTGTATGTGTGTGTTTGTGTTTGTGTGTGTGAGTGTGCGTGTGTGTGTGTGGTGTGGTGTGGTGTAGTGTGGGTGGGTGGGTGGGTGTGTGAGTGCGGGCGTGTGTGTGTGTGGGTGTGTGTGAGAGAACTGTTTGAGTGTGTGAGCGTGTGTGAGCGTGGGTGTGTGTGTGTGTGCGTGTGTGTGTGCGTATGTATAAGTGTATGTGTGTTTGTGTGTGTGTTTGTGTGTGTGCGTGTGTGTAGGTGTGTGTAGGTGTGTGTGTGTGTCTGTGCATGTTTGTGTGTGTGTGCGTGTGTGCGTGTATGCTCGTGTGTGCGTGTGTGTGTGTGTGCGCGTGTGTGCGCGTGTGCGCGCGTGTGCGTGTGCGTGCGTGCGTGTGCGTGTGCGTGTGCGTGTGCGTGTGCGCGTGCGTGTGCGTGTGCGCGGGTGCGTGTGCGCGTGTGCGCGTGTGCGCGTGTGCGCGTGTGCGCGTGTGCGCGTGTGCGCGTGTGCGCGTGTGCGCTCGTGCGCTCGTGCGCGTGTGCGCGTGTGCGTGTGTCCACGTGTGCGCGTGTGCGCGTGTGCGTGTGTGCGTGTGTGCGTGTGTGCGTGGTGTGTGCGTGTGTGCGTGTGTGCGTGTGTGCGTGTGTGCGCGTGTTGTGCGTGTGTGAGCGTGCGCGTGCGTGTGTGAGCGTGTGTGTGTGTGCGTGTGTGTGCGTGTGTGTGCGTGTGTGTGTGCGTGTGTGCGTGTGTGCGTGTGTGCGTGTGTGCGTGTGTGCGTGTGTGCGTGTGTGCGTGCGTGTGTGTGTGTGTGCGTGTGTGTGGGTGTGTGTGCGAGCGTTCGTGCGTGCGTGTGTGTGTGTGTGTGCGTGTGTGTATGTGTGGAGTGTGTGCGTGTATGCGTGCGTGCGCGCATGCGTGTGTGTGTTTTTTTGCGCGTGTGTGCGTGCGTGCGTGCGTGCGTGTGTATGTTTGTACGTTTGTGTGTGTGTGTCCACACTCTGTGCTTCGGTCGTCTTTGTATGCATGCCTGTCTTTCGCATGCCATGTTGTGCTATGCCTGCGTCGCACGCCCCATGGCCCGAGCTGTTCCGCCGAGGTTTAGGCTAGAGCTCAACGTGTTTTACAGAGGTGCTGCACACCTTGATGGGCCTCGGGAGTTGCAGCTGCTGAAAAGAAAGCGGATCAGAGTCGCAAGTGTGATTGATGGGTTTTGCCAGTCTTGTCAGCAAGACCTGTTCCATATCCATACGATTACTTTTCATGGCGTGCTAGCGCTGGAGTGGAGCCATTGCCTCGGCTCAGTGGTGTACCGCAAGCTCGCGGGGCACCCTCTGCCCACGGACTTTGTCCACCAGGTTGGGTGCCGCTTCCGCGTTTCATGTCGCTCCAGTCTTGAGGGGACGACGTGTTTCGCCGTTCTGTCAGATCGTGCCGCCCCCTGCGTGTTTTCAGCGTGCTCCCTGGTAAAGACAAACTTCTCGACCAAGTACGTTCCATGTGCTCTT